AGCCTTCCCAACAAATCGAATTCTTCTTAAACCCATGTTTTTCCATCCCTGCTGTCACCACTCTAGTTCAAGCTACATCGCCTAACTCCTTCACTGCCTCTAGCTCCTCCTCTTCTAATCCAACCTGAATTCTGTCACTATATCTTCATTTAAAAATGTCAAGGACCCCCAATTCAAGTCCTAGTGCCTTAAGATTTAGAGCACTCCTTAATCTGACTATGCCTTTCCAACTTTATTTCCTATATCTGCTTTTAATGAACCCTTCTTTCTTGTCAGGTCAGTATCTTCTTCATGCTCCGAACATGCCCATTCCTATCTTTTTCTCTTTGCTCAGGCAGCCTGGATCCCCTCTCCCACTCTGACTGTGAATATGACAGCTATGTTAAAGTCACAACAGAGTCTTGCTTCCTTCATAAAAGACTTCCTTAAACCCAGCCCACACTGACTCTTCCTCCTTTGACCCACGCAAGTTCTCAGGGACACATAATCATATCCTTTCTCGAACTTTATCTGACCATATCACAATTAGGCCTCACCTCAACAGAAAGGGCGGAAGCCCTCCCCGGGGCTAAGCTTTGACCCACGCAAGTTCTCAGGGACACATAATCATATCCTTTCTCGAACTTTATCTGACCGTATCACAATTAGGCCTCACCTCAACAGAAAGGGCGGAAGCCCTCCCCGGGGCTAAGATCAGATCTTTTCCTGAACTTTTCTCCCCTACAGCATAGCCTACTACTGGCACTTAGGAAAGTCAGTATTCTAGCATCTTTGGAGGTAGCCAAAGTCAGTCTTGGCAGCAACACACTAAGAGTCACAAAGGTGGGGAAGTAAGAAAGGGTGATACTAGACTTGGAAAGCCTCTGTTCATTTCACTCCCATAGTTCACAATTCCTGCCCTGTTCCTGGGGTTTCTTTGGGGTCTTGTGAGAGACAGAAAATCAGCAAAGCATCTCTTCCCCCTCCTTCTTCATATTTGGCTCAAGTGATACCTGAAAGGCCTCCCTGAGGGCCTGGGCCTGTTCCTGGGTGCGATTGTCCTGCCAGGGCCGGCCTGTAGAACGTGTGGGGCCCGCACGGAGACTCTCCCCAAAGACATCCAGGTAAAAGAAGACATAATCCCCATTGGTCAGGTTCTCCCTCTGGGCCTGAAGCAGGATCTCATGCAGCATGTCCAGAGGGCCGCAGATATACACAACTGGGAGCAGGGACATCACAGAGGAGCACCCTGAGAAAGTATCCAGGTCCCCCAAACAGCACCCTTTCTAAATCATCTGCATTTCCCTCTTTGGCAAGAAAGCAAGTGCTCTAACCTATGGACCACCCAGCAGATGCGCCCCATCCCTCCCCCTTGGAGTCCATGTCATAAGTACCCTGGGGCCATATGCACCATCTGGCAGAAGTCAGGACCTGACTCCAGACCCCAGAGGAAGGGAGCGATCACTCTCAAGACCCTTTTACCAGAGCCTTCCTTGCTGCTCCTCACCCAACCCTCCTCACACCCCCACCCCTGCCTTTCCCTTGGCTCAAAGGCACCAGTTGCTCAGAATTTCTGTATGAGCTTTACCTGTCTTTTCCAACCAAATCTGCTGATCCCCGAGCCCTTTCATGGGGTCCTTGATATTTTTACATAATCAAGGAGTCTTGGAGCCTCAGTCTGGGAGGTCTCTGCTCACAGACATCCATTTCAGAGTGGCCATCAACCACACTCATTATTCTAGGGCTCTCGCATTGCTCCCCAAACTGAAACATCCCCCCTGTCCCACATTCTCCCCTGATACAAGCCTCACCCCTCCTGCTCTCTTATTACTTGTCTACATCTGCCTGTGACGTCCACAAGCTCCTCTCATAATTCCTGGGCCCTCTTCTCAGGTGCTCTGTCCACACATGCTTCTGGATCTCAACCACCACATACAGCTCCTCAATACCTACATCTACAATGCCTATATCTCTATCTACAATTTCCCAGTGCTGAACTCCAGGGACACAGTGACCCTCCTCCCCTGACCCTAAAGTAGCCCGGGCCACACTCACTGCGCCCGTTGGCCCGGATGAAGTGGGTGGCCTGCTCAGGGTCCCCTGGCTCTCGGGCATACACCTGGTGCTGCACACTGAGGTTGTTGCCTTGCAGGGCCTCAAAGACGCCCTCGATGGTGAAGTAGTGAGGCCGGTCATCTGTGCGAGCATCCAGATACAGCAAGGCAGCACGGGCAGTCCAATTGAAGTGCCCATGTAACGTCACTACAAACTCACCCAGTTTGGGAGCAGAGGGGCCAGTACGAACCAAGGTACGGTAATGCTCATTCTTAGCAGCAAACCCAGAGGCCACAGCACCCGCAGTCAGCAGGGGAAGGTGCCAATGTGAAGCAAAGCGGGCCACAGAGGCAGCAGGGTACACACAACCGGGGCCCAACAGAAGGTCAGGGTCATGGTACAGCTTGAGGTCCACAGCGCGCAGTGGTGCCAGGTACTCAGAGCAGGCGCCATCTAGTTCAGAGCTGACAAACCGCAGGTCCACGGGCAGTGCCCGGCCCAGCGCCTCCACGGCTAGTGCCACAGCAGGACCCACCCGTGGCCAGGCCCAGGCATAGCTCAGGTTGTGTTCTGGCAGCACCACTGCTAGTGTCAGGTTCCGCACCCCAGGAGGACGCACCCCACCTGCCAGGGCTGCCACCAACAGCAGGAGTGATGGCATTGCCATGGGGATAAGGCAGCAGCCCCACCGCCCCCAGAATCTGAGGCTGCTCTGGCCTAAGGGGGAGGCACGAGCACCACCCAGCCTGGAGCTTAGGGAAGAGGCCAGGAAGAGAAGTGGGGATACGCTAAGAGGGCTGGGGTACGAAAAGTGCTGGGAACTGGGGAGAGGAGGAGATCGGACGAAGCCCCCGGGGTGGGTAGGGAGTGGGCTCCCAGCTTAGGGCCAGGACTGAGGACTAAGAGCAGGGTGACAGGAGGAGGGAGAGACCAAGGGGGCCTGCAACAGGGATGGGGACAGTGAGAGGTAAAGTCGCGTGATGAATCCAAAGCTGAGAGGGAAAGGGGGATCTGAGACAGGGATGGGGTGGGGGTGGGGGGGGGGGAGAGACTGGCACAAAGAAACGGTCTGGGGGAACCTCACGGCTGAAGGCTCTGGGAGGACAGGGAGCTGCGAAAAACAGGACCAAGGCGGGTGAGGTGGAAGGGTGCCCACGCCGCGGCAGGACTGCGACCACGGGCAAGCGGGGAGCGAAGCGAGGCCTGGGCCAGAGGGCAGGGAAAGGCAAGGGTAAAGCTCCCTGTGACGGCTTCTCCCGAAGCTCCTGCTTGGACTAACGGGCCCCAGGCGCTGGTCCCATCCGGAGCTGCGGCGGCCCCGCCCGTGTCCCCGCTCCGCTCCGCCGCTCCTGGGCCCCGGCGGCCGGCGCTGCCGGGCGCT